CAGCTCCAGGTCAAGCTGTTGTTCATCATCTTAGCTGTAGAGGGCAGTGTCACTGGCCCATGTGGGATCCGAACCAGCGGCCCTGCTGCTCAGAGCTCCCACTCCCAAGCTAACTCTTAACCAATGAGCCACTTGACTGTCCCAAGGAATTATGTTTTTATATGAAATCTTGGGTCTTGGACATCCCCTCCAATACCTGCTTCAATCTGTTTAGTTTATGCTTATTCTCACTTATCCAAATACATTAATTTTAGCTACTAGGAAATCTCTTGAGATTTCAAATAGCTTTTTTTAACTGGTCAAAATAAAAAGTTACTTGTGAAATAATTTCTGCCAACTTTCTAACATCTTTTGAGATTGCTATGTAAACTTAATGTTGTGTTTTCCATGAAGGGAAATGAAGATACATTTCATTGAGCCTCTTAGGCTGTTCAATTTACTAATTACTTACTCAGTACCAGGTTGGCCTAACCAAATCTGTAAAGGTTACTTGGTAGAGAAAATGGTGCCTACAGTTGAAAGTGGAGCTGTGGTTTCATCTGTATCTCCATTTAAAATACATATATTGAATAGAAAAATACATGATTTTGATAATTCCCTCCATTATCTTTTAAACTTTGCTATTCACCTTGTGCATTGTATATTTAATGATTGGATTACATTTGTTTGCTTAAAATTATTAAGTACTGTTAAATTCAAGAGAGATGGTGACTTACTTTGAGACTTTTGCAGTGATAAGAATGAAAATGTTAACACTTGAAATTGCAAGGTGGGGATACCAAATCTGTTTAGAGGATCAAGTGGTCACCACTGTACCCATCTGGTCATACTTAGCATTATTGGCAGACAACCTGACCTGTGTACCTGCTGGGGTGATGCAGGATGAAGCACACTGCCTCATCTACGATATATTCTTGCCGCCTCCTCCCCCAAAGCACTATTATAACCAAGAGTTAACTCACTTTTCAAGAATTGCAGGACATAGAGGAATAAGTGAAACTAAACCACCGGGAAGTTATCAGGCGGATCTAGAATGTACAGCATTTTGTAAGACAGTGTCAGAGGAAAAAAGAGAAGGAGACAAAGATGATGATACTGGTGATGATGTTGCTGGTGGTGTGATGGTAATGATGACGATGACAATGACAGCAGAGAAAGGGGACTTCTAAATCAAGAGACTTAAAAACCAAATGTATTGCGGAACTTTGGTAGAATTCTGGTTCAAAGTAAAATCAGCTATTTAAGACATTTGGGGGACAGCTTGGAAAATCTGAATATGAATTGGATAGGCAGTGATACAGGGAATTAATTGATTTTATTAGGTGTGGTAATAGTCCTGTGGTTGTAAGATAATGTCCATAATTTTAGGTGATTAAGGATAAAGTGTTCTGGCGTCTTCAACTTTCTTTCAAATGGTTCAGCATTATATATAGGTGTAGGGTAAAGCAAGTATGATAAAATGTTAACAGTGGTTGATGGTATATGATATTTAAAAAATTTCTTTTCTGTAGGTTCATTATAAAAGGGGTTGGGCAGGATTTTAGATTCTACTGGGAGGGGAAAAAACCCTAATCCACAAGTATCTTTTGCCCATTCCGTGTAAAACATCCACACTAGTCAACGTGTCATATGCCGTTACAGACTTGCCCTCCTGGTCAAAGGGAAAATCCAGGGTACAGGTAATTTCATATGGAAATTTAAATAAAAGTGACCAAGTTTACTCTAACTCTTTCACAAAATGGAGGAAATTTGTGTTGTAAAAAAAGTCTAATGAAACTAGTATGTGGTTGTACAAATAATTGAATTAAACAGTTATTTTAATATGATGGTTTTCACATATCTGAAAGGTTTGTTGTAAGAGACCAAAAAAAAAATTTTTTTTGTTACAAGTAGTATGAATTTTAATTTCAAGCTTTAGTACACTTCTCTTGTTTGTCAATGATTTTAGAGCCAGAGGACCAAACAAAGCACAGTCCTTGCCCCAGTAATCGACCTAAAGCGAGGTGGCTCTTCAGATGACCGGCAGATTGTGGACACCCCGCCTCACGCAGCGGCCGGCCTCAAGGTAAGCCCCCCTCTGACCCTGGAGGCTTCCCTGCTCTCTGCGTGTCTTACTTCACTCGTGTCACTCTGAACACAGTCTCTTCAGCAGCCCCTTGCTGTCTTTCCACTGTCGTGGGTTGGAATCTGTGTGCTCTCCCGCCTGCTTTCATCCTGAGGCAGGGCACAGCTGATGCTCTCGGTCAAATTCCTTGGCTGGAGGAACTGATACTACTCTTACATGCTACTAGTCTGTCAGGAGGGACAGGTACCCACAGTGGAGGTGTTCAGTCATTTAATATTTTTTTCCCATAAATTCTTTACTTTTTCTTGCTACATTGACTCAAAAACTGGTATATCGTCTTCTGTTATTGGGTATTGACTCTAGAAACTGTAATATTGCTGCCCTAAAATTTAATCAGTAAGCATGTTCCTTCTTCTATAGTTTTCACAACCAGTTTTTAATTGTAAAATGTTCTATCAAGTGAATGCACTGTAATTTATACAAGCACCCCCTAAACGTGGAACCATCTAGATCTGCTTTTGTGTTGGCATTATAAATAACACTGGAACACGCATCTCTGCAGAGAACTCTGTGTGAATGTAGTTATTTTCTCAGGATAGATTTCCTGAGGTGCCAGTTTGTTTTAGTGCTAGCTTGTTTCCGGCAGTTGTGTCAGTGTACAACCTCACCTACATATAAATATGTAACTATTTTAGTTTTACCCACCTTCCCCAGTGTTAGGGTGCTTTAAAACATTTTTTTTGAACTTAGAACAAACTGCTTTATTCTTTATAGCATTTAGAGAAGGATGGCTCATTGTTAAGCTTCGCAGGGCTTATACAGTAAAAGTTGTTTACTTTCAAATTTTGAAATGACAGAGAATCAATTTTCATATTGACAATTCGTTCTCTCAGAAGCTTTGTGATAATAGTACTGTATCCATTGAGTGGCTGGTTATTAGTTTCTCTCCTCTCTTAATCTTGTTCGTGTGCCTTTGCATTTTTAAAATGTCTTTTTTACGAGTACAAGTTCATAACTATCCTTTGCGTATGTTAAATAGATTTGTGTAAATTTGCCAGTGATACGGCCTGGGAGGTGATTGCGGTTATTTTTCTGTTGTAATTTCTCTTATTCATCGAATCCTAGTGTTTCCTGATTTTTAATTATAAGGAAATGATGAAGTGTTTGTTTCACAATGCAAAAATATCAGACAGAACAGTGTATTATAGAAATTGTTGGATTTAGATCTGTTGATGTTGAACATGCATTCTCCCTGTCACATCAGTTTGGGGTTCAAATATAAACACATTTTTCCAAACAGCCTTCCTGCCTTTGCTAGTATGGGAAGTGTGCCTCCTGAAGGAGATGCAGAGCGGGCACCCAGCGACACTAGTCGTAACCTGTGCTTGTTTAAGATGCCTGTGGAGACCAGCTAACAGTGGAGGCCTCTTATTTTTACAGATAATAGGGAAGAGTTATGCTGAGAAAACGTGGAGGAAGAAAGTACGGCTGTTTGGGAAAGCTAGACCATGCATTAGGTAGATAGGGCTTCCCAGATCCATGTAGAGGTCACGACCATCAACCTCGGGGAAAGGCCCTATTTCGAACCTGTATTTCCTAGTTGGCTGTACTCTGTCTATTGTTTTTCTGGTTTCTTTGTTAAGACTACTTCTTTCCTCTCAAAGAGTAGCCCCAGTTACTAAATGTTTAGAAGAGAGATGCAAAATGTTATCTGAACCTGATCTTAGGGGACCCTAAAAAAGTTAATGACAATGTGAAGGGAATTATATCCACCTGTGCCAGACTCAGCATGTGAAATGCAGCCTACCTGGGAAGGGGGGATGTATTCTAGAGGATGTCAAAAAGCCCAAGAGGATGCTTTTTGCTTATTTAAGTCTTATATTGCATGCCTCTGCATGTCATCAGCATCTAAAGTTTTCCTATTAAATGACCACAAGTGTGATTGTGTTATCTGGGGGTTGTTTGGTTTTTAAGTTTTCAAAGATATATAACAGAAGTATTTGGCTTTTACTATAAATATCAAATTTATCGCTTAAAATTTTAGGTGGTAAGAGCTTGCTTAGGAATTTCAGGAAAATGCCATAGCATTTTTAATGGAATTAATACTGAACTGAGTTCTTGGTTACGGTTCTGCTGTCACCTAGAGAGGGATGTGGCCATGTCAAGTCACTAAACCTTAGATACTGTTCTTTGTCTGTAAAACAAAGGAGTCAGAGAGATGGTCAGCAAGGCTCCTTCCAACCCTCAGATTCTTTGACCTTAATTCTGTGAATAAAATGTTAAGACATGAGGATGATACTTACTTGGGCATTTTCACCTTCCTCAGGACCCTGTACCCAGTGGGTTTTCCGCAGGAGAGGTTTTGATTCCTTTAGCTGATGAATATGACCCTATGTTCCCTAACGATTACGAGAAAGTAGTGAAGCGCCAAAGAGAAGAACGACAGAGACAACGGGAGCTGGAAAGACAAAAGGAAATAGAAGAGAGAGAAAAGTAAGGCTTTGTTTGGATTTGGGGATGTTTTATGTTTGAAATATTCATTAGAATGTTAATGAATGAACTTCAGTGCTGTCTGTAAAGCTGAAGTTAGTTTTCATTGTTGATCTGAGCAGTCATCAGAAGGAATCAAATTGTTTTTAAGAATCTGTAGCTTTTGCACCTCTAGAAAAGAAACTTGAGAGCAAATTTCATGTGTAGACACAGAAAATTTAAAGTATACATTTTGGGTGAGTTGTTAGAAAAGTAACTTAGAACCCTGTTGTAGAATAATAGATTTTTCCTCTATGCTATGACTCTACTAGAATCATAACTTTTTAAAATTGGTATTCTTTAATAATTTTTGAGCCAGATGGAATTTTTTAAACTTATATGCGTCTTTTATTTGTTTTTTAAAAATAGGGGTAACAAGGGTTTGTTTGTATTTCTTCTTTTAAAAATATTGAGTATTGTTAAATAGTTTATAAAAGTATTTCTCATTATTTATTGAATTATTTCGTGAAGACATGTTCTAGAGCAGCGGTTCTCAACCTTCCTAATGCCGCGACCCCTTAATACAGTTCCTCATGTTGTGGTGACCCCCAACCATAAAATTATTTT